GACTTAATAATTAAAGAAGAAGCAGCAATGCAGGCTTCAGGCTGCTTGTTTAGCAAAAAGGAACCACTGATACTTGGAATAATGGAATTTACAGGATTTGCTGCTGACTCGGAATAAAACAAAGGCCTGGCTCCCTGCTTGGTTTTTAAAAAAAATACCACACTTGTTTTCCTCGGTAGGAAAGTTTATAATAAGAGTGTCGCAACTGGCATCTGAATGGAAAGGACCGTGCAGTTAGAAAGACGCTGAAGGGAGTAAGGGTGCATTCGATGTGGCTGAATATTTAGAATAGAATAACAGAATTGGAAGGGACCTCGTAGGTCTTCTAGTCCAACCCCCTGCTTAGGCAGGAAACCCTACACCACTTCAGACAAATGGTTATCCAACATCTTTTTAAAAACTTCCAGTGTTGCAGCATTCACAACTTCTGGAGGGAAGTTGTTCCGCTGATTAATTGTTCTAACTGTCAGGAAATTTCTCCTTAGTTCTAGGTTGTTTCTCTCCTTGATTAGTTTCCACCCATTGCTTCTTGTCCTACCCTCAGAAGCTCTGGAGAATAGCTTGACTCCCTCTTCTTTGTGGCAGCCCCTGAAATATTAGAATACTGCTATCATGTCTCCATTAGTCCTTCTTTTCATTAAACTAGACATAACCAGTTCCTGCAACCGTTCTTCATATGTCCAGTCCCCTAATCATCTTTGTTGCTCTTCTCTGCGCTCTTTCTAAAGTCTCAACATCAACATTTGCCCTCAAGTGAAATTGAAGGAAGTTTGTGTCCTCTTATCTTCTATGCTGGGATTTGGATCAGGTCATAACAAGCAACCCAGCAACCTGTAGCTGATCTAATCTAATCGTAGGAGTTCAGGAAGGAAGCTAACTCAAAGTCTTCAGGCAAAGATTGCTTCCATGTTCCCCATTTCTCCGTACTTCTATGTTCCATGTGAGCTTTACTTCATTCAAATATAATAGAATACAATTCCTTCTTAAAAACCTCCAGTAATGGAGTGTGTGCAACTCCTGAAGATAAACTGTTTCACTGATTAATTGTCCTCGCTGTCAGGAAATTTGTCCTTAGTTCTAGGTTGCCTCTCTCCTTGATTAGTTCCCACCCATTGCTACTTGTCTTACCCTCAGAAGCTCCGGAGAATAGCTTGACTCTCTCTTTGATAAGCTTCCATATGTTACTTCTTGTCTGCCCTCGGATGCTTCGGAGAGTGTCAACACCCTCTACTCTGTCACACCAGCCCTTCTCTTCATTAAACTAGACATACCTCGTTCCCACAACCACTGATTGTATGCTTTGGCTTCCAGACCCCTTATCATCTCTGTTGCTCTTCTTTGCACTCTTTCTATAATCCCTATCACAATCATTTCAGCAAGTGTTAAGGAGATCTTATGGCTGCCTGCATGTAACATGCTACGCTTACTTCATTTTACATTGAGCAAAAGGCTTGTTGGTGGAACTCAACAAGTTTACGAACTCAACAGATTCAAAATTTGGGTTTTTAAATCATAAATGAAAAAAGGTCAATTCGATAACCCAGTTAACCATGTTATGCAAATCCGCCCAGGTCACGCAGCTTATCAGCACGGAGATTAAACCACGCTCACTCAGTGCTACTCACGGAAGTTGGTGATTGTATAACACAGAATTCCATAATATAGATAATATAGGTAATATAGACTTGAGTCCCGAGTGCTTTTTCATAGCAAAAGGGCAAATTTGGTGAAAGACATTTAAATAAATATGCAATGATGGATACAGGTGGCAAAGAAGCCCATTACAATGGTGGTCTAAAATAATAAACCTCCTTATCGTTAAAAAATGTATCCAGTGGATAAAAGAAAAGCAAAATAAAAGAATTACACAGGAAAGAAAAAACACCCTCAGTTTCTCAGTGCACAGGTTTTGAAAAGCTGAGTGTGATTCATTCATCCCAAAATAGGTCTAAAGTGTCAGGTATCCACTGTTCTTATAAAAATGGTTTTTGTGATTAAAAATAAGACCACACACCATTTGAGGGAGGAAGAAAGGTGTATTATTAGCTTTCTTCTTTATTGTTCCCAATGCATGACACTAACACCCAGAAGAGTTTGATAAGAATAACGAATTTCTTTAAAAAAGAGAGAGAGACTTTGAAACTGCAATTCTATTTATGTTCTCTTTAAGAAGCAATCATATATATATAGCATGCATCTCACCTTAGCAGGTAGCATTGTCCCAAAGCAATTCAAACATATTTCTATAGGATTTCACATTGATTTGCACAACCACACCTCCCCAGGAGTGGGAGGATGAAGGAGTAAGTATAATGCTAATACTCAGTATAAAGTACAATATAATATGTAGAAGTAGAACTATTGAAAACCAAGCTTAAATTCCCACTGAGCCACAAAAGGTTGCAAGGTAATTGTAGGCTACTCTACTATATGACATGATTCACACAGTACATACTACTGAAAATATAATTTATGTGACCAATGTGTATTGAATAAACCACAGTCTGTAAAGCATCATATATAACCCCACCATTGATGGGTTCACACAATATACTAAGCCAGAACTGAAAAAGCCAAGTTGTGTGAACTGAGACAATTCAACCAGCTCTACCTCTCAGATCTATTCTGAGGATAAAATAGCGGAAGTTAGAATGGCATGTTTATAATCCTGAGCAATACAGTATACAATAGAGAGACCATTAAGAACTATTTGATTGCATTAAGCATTAATTCAGGGGCAGTAAACAAGCAATCACCAGTTTGGTGTAGTGGTTAAAGCATCAAGCTAGGAATCAGGGATGGTGAGTTCTAGTCCCACCTTCGGTACAAACCCAGCTGGATAACCTTTCGCCAGTCACTCTTTCTCTGCCCAGGGAAGGAGGCAATGGCAAACCTCTTACAAAAACCTTGCAAGGAAACTGCAGGGACTTCTCCAGGTGGGCACCAAGGAATCAAGACAGATTCAAAGGCACAAAAGAGGAGGGAGGAAACCCACGAATCATTCATATCTAGGGGATGAATACAGCCTGAAATCTTTGCATAATGGCGTATCATGATTTCATAGTGGCACGGTGGATGCTTGCATCTGTCTGAATCCCTTGGTAGACTTTTGCTCCAAACTTTTCTTTTTAGCACCGAAGCTAAAGGAAAGCTCCAAACCATTTGGCCAAAGTAACAGCACCGAGTTTGTGATTTCTGTTACACGGGGTTGCAAGAGTTAAGGAGAACTCACTCCAAAGGTACAAGAGGCAGGGGCAACCGGGGATGGAAACAAGAGAGGGTCAAGCTATTTTCCAAAGCACCAGAAGGCAGGCACCAAGAAGCAACTGCTGGAAACTAATCAAGGAGAGAAGCAACTTGGCACTAAGAAGTAATTTCCTAACAGTGAGGACA